TCATGAAGGTGGTTCCTTACAGACTAAGAGATGTCATTCATTGATCCTGATGGCTCCATATCGAGGCAAATATTGGAAAATAAGAAAGTGTAATTTAACCGCTTCCTGCTGAAAACCTCTGTATTTTGGGTATTTACTAGTGTTGTTGATTGATTCAGGTCCAGATTTGACTCTCTGCATAGTGACCGCCCTCTACTGGTTGAAACTGGATATTGCAGTTTATTTTATTGCTGGCTGATCAGGAGGAAGGTGACATATGTGGTGGCAGCTTTTATCACCAACACTGTAAGAAAAAAACCTGTAAAAAAACGGTCAATGTTTGGCAGCTACGGCTAATTAATTACCGTAAAATATCCTAATTCAAATAATGTGCAAAATTTACAAAAAATTACATTAAAATGTTTACAGAAAAATACCGTTATTTTACAGATGTTTCCCAAATAATTATGATCAAATACCTCAATAAAGGGACAATGCTAAAAGTTCTGCAGGAAAATATGATTATTTTACAGATTTTTGCTAAATTATTACGATCAGACACCAAAATTTGATCTTCAAAATTACTGTGAAATATCCTCAACTGAAAACATACTTAAGCAATACATAATAGATACAGCTAAAGATTTTCACTGTTTCAATTAAAATGTTGTGGGAAATGAACAACAAATAAAGTAATCACCACTATTGGTTCTAAAGTCCTTTTATTTATTGTATTCAGATGTCAGTTTACAATATCAACCAATTATTCACAAACAGTTCTTTAGAGCCCCCCAGGAGGAACTGAAAAACTGAATGTGTGTAACATGTGTGTCTGTATGCATTTCTATCAAAATGAGGTCAAGATTTCACCTTTGAAATGGATGGAGGAAGCAACAAATTGTGCTGTTGAGCTGAGGGAGTTGTGGTCTTCTTCCTCTTCATTCTCCTAACCCTTGGGGGCTCTGTATAAGGTAGTTCTGATAACATTTGTGGAGAAGCATTACAGTCTTTTAATTAAGAATCCTAACTATACAGTGTATTATTAAGTAAAACTAAAACATACCACAAAAGGTCAATGAATCTGTAACAGAGGTGCAACACAGCAGAAAAAGCAGAAAAATCAGAATCCTCCTCCAAATTGCCAGAAATCGTCTGGATCTTTGATGCTCCTGGAGGGGACACACAGAGAGAGAGAGAAACTATTACTGAAAGGTCTTTACTGTAAAAAGTAGGATTTTATTTATAGTGCATTTTAAATAAACACTGCTGGAGTTTCACAGGAAATCAGTGTTGTAGCACATTTTCCCAAACAACTGCAGAAAATAGTGACTACGTTTTAAATGCAAAAAACAACTGAAGAATCCTCAGGTTCTGAGCTCTGCACGGTGGTGAAGCAAACCCACACCCACAGATCAAACAGTGTGTACAACAACGCAGCTCCCAGCTAAGAAGCTACAGTGAAGATTTCTGCTAAACACATGGTGTAAATGACGACTTTTCAGGTCAATTTGGCATGTCTGGACTTTTGAACACTTGGATTATGATAGACAAGCAGTATGAAGGCCTTTTTATAAAACTCCAGGAGTGTTTTGTGAATTGAAAAAAATAACCTGACCTTCTTTCAGCATAAGGGTTAGGTAATGACTGATTTTTAATTTAAAGTGAACTACTCTTTTAAACAAACTTCATTTAAATTGATGAGATGTTATAGTTAAAGGCTTTTACTCAGAAAGGATGTTAAAGTGGCCATTGGACTGCAGAGCTATTTCCTGGATAACTTTGGGGAATGACTAGCCAACTTACATTACTGTGTTACAAAGACTACTGGCCAGCATGATGGAAAAGTCATAGAAAACAGGGATTCATGTTTATGTGTGGAATGGGATTCATGTTTGAGCCACTATGTACATTTTCATATTTGAAAGAAGTTGTTTAACCATTGTTAACCATTCGGCACCACTGGATTCATACACAGCATAGATGAGTACAATATTGTTTGTCTTTGTGCTGACAAACTGGCAGTAATATGGCCACTAGTATGCACATTATCCATTCACAGTCCTTATCAGGATAACATGAATACTCACTGGCTCTGAAGATCTTGTGGCAGGAGACTTTTCATTTCCAAAATGTCTGGATCATGAGGGGAAAACACACAAACAAACAATATTAGCCAGTTTACTGTTGGAGACATAGACATGCAAAATATGAGTCAACAGTCTCACACATACAATCATTCTAACATAATATTCTTGTTATGACTGATGTGAACTTGGTTTCATTCTCTGTATGTTTTGCCTCTGCTTGCCTACTTAGGGGGGGCGGCAGTAGCTCAGTGTGTAGGGACCTGGCTTGGGAACTGGAGGGTCACCAGTTCAAGTCCCACAGACCACAAATATGGAGTTTGGACTGGTAGCCAGAGAGGTGTCAGCTTCACCTCCTGTGCACTGCCGAGGTGCGTTTGAGCAAGCCCAAAAACCTGCTCATGGGGTGCCAGTAATGTTTGAAGCCCCATCACTCCACCATCTCTCTCCCCCTTGCATGAAGTGTGCATTTCAGCCTGTGTGTGTGTGTATAAAAAAAAGAGTGAAAAGAACAATTTCCCCTAGGGGATCAATAAAGTATATCTCCTTCTTCTTCTGTCCCTGGGTTTAATGCTGCACCCCAGCAGCCGGTGATATCTTGATATCTTGTCACTCCTGGTTCTTCAGCCGTCGCATGATCATACAGGTGATGCACACCTATAGGTATAGGTTCTGTGTGAAGTACAGATGGACACAGGGAAGAATATGGTAAATGGATTATTCTTGCATATATAATGCTTTTCTAGTATTGTCTAGTACTGTTACATCAGTTAATTACTCAGCAGTTAGCAAACCCAACAGTATGACAACGTTCCAGTCTAAATTATGGATTTGAACACAAACATTACCTCAGGTTATTAACTTAGAAAAATAACAGGGAAATGTTTTCGTACCTGATATCCCAGGATAACAGTTATAACGTGAAGTCCATATTCCCGTTTTTGTTTTGTTGTTTTGTTCTCCGTTGAAATCCCACAACTCAGATTCACTCAAATAATAATTTGGCGTGCAGATGTAAAATAATCCAGATAATGATCCACGTAATTCATTATAGTGGAGCGACAGAGTAGCGCTGAAGTCCTGCAGCATTCAAACAGACGTACTTTCAAATGAAGGCGCGCTCAGTGCTCATTGGTTTCCTGGATGACAGCCACATTGACCAATCATATTCAAAGCAACATGGTGAGACAGCCAATAGCAATTGTTTCAACGGGATAACTCACAGAAATATGACTTCAGAATCAAAATCATAAATCAAATATTTTAGTGACCCCAAAATTGGGAAATACCTTTGTATTATTCATAATAATAATAATAATAAATTAAAAAAATAATAATAGCAGCATCACTTAACAGTTAAGTCCACACTAAATCACATAGAGCAAAAAGTTTCTGCTGCACTGCTTTCTTGATGTTGGATTTTTATATATTTTTAATATACAAATTACAGTGGGTAAAATCTTAATTCATTGTAAAACTGCGCACAGAGCTTTGATGTCTCTCTCTGTCTCTCCATCTCTTTCTGTCTGTCTCTCTGTCTCTCCCTCTTTCTCTCTTGAATGTTAAACCACAACTAATGAGATTAACCTTAAAATTGCAGAAAAAAATCTTAGTTGTCAGTATGGAAATAAACCTTTATATAACGAACAAAACATTTAATAATGGTCAAATATCGTAATTATAGTACTTTTCTGTAAAAAAAAATGGGAAATAACTGTAGTTTGTCATTGTTGGCATAACAGATAAAATAACAGGCGGGTTGTTAATTTACAGATAATGTCTGTAATTTTACTGTTTTTTTTACACTTTTTTTAAAAAAAACGGAAAAACTACTGTAAACATTTAGAGTAATTTACTGTAAAATTAGGAATTTTTTTTTATAGTGAACCAACTCCTGATTATATCAGACCAACTTAGAGTCTGACAAGAGTTGCTCATGGCTGGTTAGCTCTGTTAGCGTGTTGCTAGCTTAGCTGACTTTATAACACAAGAAACTTTTACAGAAAGCTGAAAATGTTCTTCTACTGACTGTTAAAGCTCCAGTGGACTCTGTGTTTCTGTGTTTTATACTTTAATATCAATAGGAAATGAGGATTTCTTTTTTTTAAATACCCCAAAATATGAAACTGTTTTTAAATATTTTTAAAATAACTGAAATATAATGAATTTAATTATTATTAAACCAGTAAATGATCTTACTAGACTTAGACTTAGACTTCTCTTTATTGATCCCTTTGGCATGACTCCCGCGAGGAAACTGGATTTCCATCAGCTTACAAAACACTTGTATAGAAAATAAAGACATATAAAAAATACAGTATAAGATAAACAATAAACTCTTAGCTAAATATAGAAAGTAAACAATAAACAGTAAACAATAAACTCTTAGCTAAATTTATGAAGTAGAGATAAGAATAAAAGTAAAATAAAATTCAAGGAAAATAAAATCAAATAAGATAAATGTAAAGAACTATATAGAGGATGAATATAGATAAATAAAGATAAATATATAGGACAGTATATGGCATTGTGTTATTATACAGTGGATAAATGACATTAGCAGAACTTAGCAGTTAAGTTAAATTATTGCACTCAGTGGATTAAGTTATTGCACAAAAAAGGAGTAGAGTGTCCAGGTATGTATGAGAAGAACTTCCAAAATATATTAGTGAAATATAACTGGACTATATATAAATGGACTGATTGTTTTTGATTTTCTAATATTTTCTCTTTAACATAATTTAAAACAAAGTAAAACAGAAATATCAGTGAGAATGAATTTGTTGTGGTCGTTTTTTCTTTGTGACTGATCTCAGAGCAGTGAGTTGACAAAGCTCCGCCCCTTAATGACATCACCTGAGACCAACCAGGAAACAGATTGTTCCTGTTCAGTTGTCACTGAGGAGAGACACACAGACGGAGAGACAGACGGTAAGATTTACCTTCATTACAAATCTGTGACTTTAACTGAGGGAGAACAGTTACAGGACGAAGTACTGAAGTAAACTGAAGTAGTTCAACCTGCTGCTGACTGAAATAAACACTCAAAGACTCAAAGTGAAAGTAACTGATGCAACATTTTACAGCAGGGTGAGGAAACACAACTGAGTTCATGTTTAACGTGCTGTTTGTTGTTTCCAGCTGCACTCTGAGACAAAATGGCTTCCAGATTAGAGGAGGATCTCTACTGTCCGGTCTGTCATGATGTCTTTAGAGATCCTGTTGTTCTGTTATGCAGCCACAGCTTCTGTAAAGACTGTCTGAAGAGCTGGTGGACAGAGAAACAAACACGTGAGTGTCCAGTTTGTAAAAGAAGATCTTCGAGGGAAGAACCACCTATAAGTCTGACTTTAAAGAACCTGTGTGAGAGGTTCTTACAGGAGAGAGATCAGAGATCTTCAGAGGCTCTCTGCAGTCTGCACTCTGAGAAACTCAAACTCTTCTGTCTGGACCATCAGCAGCCAGTGTGTCTCGTCTGCAGAGATTCAGAAAAACACTCCAACCACAGATTCAGACCCATCGATGAAGTTGCACGACAACACAAGAAGAAACTTCAGGAAACTCTGGAGCCCTTAAAGGAGAAGTTAAAGGTTTGTGAAGGAGTTAAAGTGAAGTTTGATCAAACAGCAGAACACATGAAGGTCCAGGCCCGACGCACAGAGAGGAAGATTAAGGAGCAGTTTAAGAAGATTCACCAGTTTCTAGAAGAGGAAGAGGAGGCCAGGCTGGCTGCACTGAGGGAGGAAGAGGAGCAGAAGAGTCAGATGATGAAGGAGAAGATGGAGGCTCTGAGCAGAGAGATAGCAGCTCTTTCAGACACAGTCAGAGCCACAGAGGAGGAGCTGAGAGCTGAAGACGTCTCATTCCTGAACAACTACAAGGCTGCAGTGGAAAGAGTCCAGCAGCGCCCCCTGCTGGAGGATCCACAGCTGCCCTCAGGAGCTCTGATAGACGAGGCCAAACACCTGGGCAACCTGACCTTCAACATCTGGAACAAGATGAAGGACATGGTCTCCTACAGCCCTGTGATTCTGGATCCAAACACTGCTCATCCAAAACTCATCCTGTCTGAAGATCTGACCAGTGTGAGAGGAGGAGAGAAACAGCAGCTTCCTGATAATCCAGAGAGGTTTGATCAGTACTGCTCTGTTCTGGGCTCTGAGGGCTTTAACTCAGGGACTCACAGCTGGGATGTCGAGGTTGGAGACAGTACACACTGGTTTCTGGGTGTGTTAGCAGAGTCTGTCCAGAGGAAGGGAAACATACTGTCTGGATTATGGAGAATACGGTTCTATGAAGGTAAATACTCAGTGCGCTCACTACCAGCTCCATCAACTGATCTTGTAGTTCAGAAGAAGGTCCAGAGGATCAGAGTGAATCTGGACTGGAACAGAGGAAAGCTGTCGTTCTCTGATCCTGATACTAACACACACATACACACCTTCACACACACTTTCACTGAGAGGATGTTTCCATACATTTACACTGGGGATAAAGTCCCAGTGAAGATATTACCAGTGAAGGTCAGTGTGACAGTGTAACAGAGCAGTTAGAGATAAAGAGGATGATTATATTCATGATGTTTATTTCTTAAAGATAAAAGTCTCTGAATTGAACCTGTTAAACTGAAACCTGCTCCTCATTATTCCAACACTGCAGGAACAGACACATATTATTAAATATAATCAAATGTTCAGGTATTAAGCAAATTATTAGGCAATTGAGCTGAATTCAAGAATTTGTGCCCTAATTAGCAAAACAAATCTTACAATAAGACACAATTCCTTCAAACACAATAAAAATAGTGACTTTGTCTTAAATGAAGGAACTAATTAAATAACAAAATAAAATAGAAAAATACAAGATATAAAGAAAAGAAAATAGAATTAGGTTTTTATTTTTCACAATGTGTAAAGTATTTGTAAAAATAAAGTGAAAATAAAACATTTGTAACAAGTTAATTCTGCAGTTGGTGAAACAATCTCATCATAAAGTCCATCAGTTGGTTGTTCTGGTTCTTTCTGTTTAATCTTCCTCAGCAGATTCACCTGCACATCCTCCTCCTCCTCCTCTCAGTATCTGATATATTGAATTTACATCCTTTTTTTTATCGGATTTTTAGTGAAAATGTTTATTTGATAAAGAGTTTATTATAAGTTATATTAAATAAATATATATATTTATATAATATAAGCTGCTGTAAGTGAGTGTGACAGTGAAAGCAGACACACAGGTGTGCAGTCATATGACGTGTCCAGGTGTCATATAACTGCACATGCGCTGGTTAAAGGACTGGTTGGAGGTTGAGGGTACAAACTGAATCAGAACAGCGTGATTTAAATATTTTAATCAAAGTGAAAACACACACACACACACACACACACACACACACACACACGTCGCGTGGCTCTGAGGCTGTAATGGCGGCAGTGCTGCACGAGGACAAAAACACCCTCTCATGCTTTAATTTGATTGGAGCTCGTGACTCGTTTCCCTCATCAACAACCAACAGAGTAAACAGCTGATGAGAATCAACCCGAAGGAAATAACCAGGAAGAGGGCTGCACCCTGCCTTCACAATAAAAGCTTCACACATACGACAACCACTGATGGAAACACCAGAGACAGAAATGTTTGTGCCTTTTTACATCATTTACTATATTCTACTAATAATTTAATTAGATTTTGTTCTCTTTCTTTACTCTCTGTGCCAATTTGACCAATAAAGGAAGAGCTTATCTCTTACATCTTAATTAAAATCATGTATTTATTGTTTTTGTTGTTGTTATTACTGGTTGTGATGTTTTATTGTTTTATTTTAACGTATAATATAATCAAATATTCAGGTATTGAGCAAAACATCTGCCAATTGAGCAAAATTTAAGAATTTGTATGTTTAAGATGAATAATTAGCAATTAGAGCCCAACCGATTTATCAGCGGGACGATATTAGGCATTTTCCAAACTATCGGTATCTGCATTTATAATGGCCGATAAATTTATATTTTAAAAAATAAAATAAAAACGGACGAAACACCCTTCAACCATGTTATGAGTGTTGGTGTTGCATAGTTTGTCCACCAGAGGGCACAACATCCCTGTTGGCAACACTCGTGTTTAGAACGCAACAAACCTTACAACCTGCTGATCCAGCCAGAGTTGGGCAGAGCGAACGAGTTATCCATGACTGAGATCATCGGTGAAGTGTGTTCATGGTATGTTGGCAACTGTCACGAGACATACATTGCTTGAATAACAATTAAAAGAACATCCCCATCACTTCTCTAAACTCAATAAGCATGACAAAATTCATGACTACCATGTCCAGTTTTGCTGCTGTTATGTGTAAGCCGAGAGTGAAACGGATTTAGCTAGTACGTTAGTTAGTTGCAATTACAGAGAAGACAGAGTATTGAACCTAGCACAATGCTGTATTTAACTTTATCCACCGACAACTGTAACTCACACTGTACATTTACTGCTAGACCTGATAACTTACTTCTCTGCTCTGCTGCCGTTCACCGCCGCGCTCGCTTATGCGCTCTCTCTCTCTCCCGCTCTATTCCTCCTTATAACATTCATTAGTCAAAATGACTTTGCCAAGAAAGAGACTAAACTTAGCAAACTAAACAGTGAGTAAACCTACTTCATGTAAAATGCTGCTTCAGACACTTTTGCTGATGCACAGATGTGAAAATGTATGTAAATTTAAAATAATTTCTAGATCTTCACTTGTTTTAATTATTATTTTAGTGAGGACTCATAAATAACTACAAATAATTAATGTTAGGGAAATCTGTTTATGTTTTGTTACGCGTTTCTGGAATTTCTTTTTTTAAATATATATCGGCCGATATATAATATATAATGTGTTTTATTAAAACAATGAAAAACTAAACAGCTGCTTCATTTCCAACACTGGGACAACAATAAAAACCTAATTCTATTTTATTTTCTTTATATCTTGTATATTTCTATTTTATTGTGTCATTTAATCTTATTTCTTTTTTCTCATCTGATATTTTCTATCTGGTTTATTATTCTGATTGTTTTTGTTTTCTTTTGGTTATTTAGTCAGTCAGAGGACAAGTTCTTCTATTTAAGGTGGACGTCTCATGTTTAAGGTGGAACGTCTCAGTTTGGGTTCAGACTGTATGTAATGTAGCTGATTTCAGAATATTAATTAACATTAATGCTGAATGTACATAACAGTCACGTTATTCTTTTCCTATCATATTAAACAGTAATGTTACCTACAAAGAGACTTGAACAAAGCAAACATAAAAAATTGGTAAAATGCCAGATTTTGTTGTCCACCCCTAATCCCAGAATACAGCATGATGCTTGTAAACTTTGTTATAATCCCATGAACTGTTGTCGTGCTCCAACACCTGAGAGCTCTGGTTCAAAATGATCGTGTTGTTTGTAGTCGAGTTGGGCCTCTTTCAGGGGGGTCTTGCTCCGGTGTAGGAGGGTATGGAGGCCCTTCATAATCCACCTACACTGCTGACAATATATTAAATATCTGTGCCACAAACTGGACTGTGATTGGCTGAAGCTCTGCTACGTGGTTGTGCAACTCATGAAGGTGGTTCCTTACAGACTAAGAGATGTCATTCATTGATCCTGATGGCTCCATATCGAGGCAAATATTGGAAAATATGAAAGTGTAATTAAACCGCTTCCTGCTGAAAACCTCTGTATTTGGGTATTTACTAGTGTTGTTGATTGATTCAGGTCCAGATTTGACTCTCTGCATAGTGACCGCCCTCTACTGGTTGAAACTGGATATTGCAGTTTATTTTATTGCTGGCTGATCAGGAGGAAGGTGACATATGTGGTGGCAGCTTTTATCACCAACACTGTAAGAAAAAAACCTGTAAAAAAACGGTCAATGTTTGGCAGCTACGGCTAATTAATTACAGTAAAATATCCTAATTCAAATAATGTGCAAAATTTACAAAAATTACATTAAAATGTTTACAGAAAAATACCGTTATTTTACAGATGTTTCCCAAATAATTATGATCAAATACCTCAATAAAGGGACAATGCTAAAAGTTCTGCAGGAAAATATGATTATTTTACAGATTTTTGCTAAATTATTACGATCAGACACCAAAATATGATCTTCAAAATTACTGTGAAATATCCTCAACTGAAAACATACTTAAGCAATACATAATAGATACAGCTAAAGATTTTCACTGTTTCAATTAAAATGTTGTGGGAAATTAACAACAAATAAAGTAATCACCACTATTGATTCTAAAGTCCTTTTATTTATTGTATTCAGATGTAAGTTTACAATATCAACCAATTATTCACAAACAGTTCTTTAGAGCCCCCCAGGAGGAACTGAAAAACTAAATGTGTGTAACATGTGTGTCTGTTAGCATTTCTATCAAAATGAGGTCAAGATTTCACCTTTGAAATGGATGGAGGAAGCAACAAATTGTGCTGTTGAGCTGAGGGAGTTGTGGTCTTCTTCCTCTTCATTCTCCTAACCCTTGGGGGCTCTGTATAAGGTAGTTCTGATAACATTTGTGGAGAAGCATTACAGTCTTTTAATTAAGAATCCTAACTATACAGTGTATTATTAAGTAAAACTAAAACATACCACAAAAGGTCAATGAATCTGTAACAGAGGTGCAACACAGCAGAAAAAGCAGAAAAATCAGAATCCTCCTCCAAATTGCCAGAAATCGTCTGGATCTTTGATGCTCCTGGAGGGGACACACAGAGAGAGAGAAACTATTACTGAAAGGTCTTTACTGTAAAAAGTAGGATTTTATTTATAGTGCATTTTAAATAAACACTGCTGGAGTTTCACAGGAAATCAGTGTTGTAGCACATTTTCCCAAACAACTTCAGAAAATAGTGACTACGTTTTAAATGCAAAAAACAAGGGAACAATCCTCAGGTTCTGAGCTCTGCACGGTGGTGAAGCAAACCCACACCCACAGATCAAACAGTGTGTACAACAACACAGCTCCCAGCTAAGAAGCTACAGTGAAGATTTCTGCTAAACACATGGTGTAAATGACGACTTTTCAGGTCAATTTGGCATGTCTGGACTTTTGAACACTTGGATTACGATAGACAAGCAGTATGAAGGCCTTTTTATAAAACTCCAGGAGTGTTTTGTGAATTGAAAAAAATAACCTGACCTTCTTTCAGCATAAGGGTTAGGTAATGACTGATTTTTAATTTAAAGTGAACTACTCTTTTAAACAAACTTCATTTAAATTGATGAGACGTTATAGTTAAAGGCTTTTACTCAGAAAGGATGTTAAAGGGGCCATTGGACTGCAGAGCTATTTCCTGGATAACTTTGGGGAATGACTAGCCAACTTACATTACTGTGTTACAAATCCTACTGGCCAGCATGATGGAAAAGTCATAGAAAACAGGGATTCATGTTTATGTGTGGAATGGGATTCATGTTTGAGCCACTATGTACATTTTCATATTTGAAAGAAGTTGTTTAAGCATTGTTAACCATTCGGCACCACTGGATTCATACACAGCATAGATGAGTACAATATTGTTTGTCTTTGTGCTGACAAACTGGCAGTAATATGGCCACTAGTATGCACATTATCCATTCACAGTCCTTATCAGGATAACATGAATACTCACTGGCTCTGAAGATCTTGTGGCAGGAGACTTTTCATTTCCAAAATGTCTGGATCATGAGGGGAAAACACACAGACAAACAAACAATATTAGCCAGTTTACTGTTGGAGACATAGACATGCAAAATATGAGTCAACAGTCTCACACATACAATCATTCTAACATAATATTCTTATTATGACTGATGTGAACTTGGTTTCATTCTCTGTATGTTTTGCCTCTGCTTGCCTACTTAGGGGGGGCGGCAGTAGCTCAGTGTGTAGGGACCTGGCTTGGAGGGTCACCAGTTCAAGTCCCACAGACCACAAATATGGAGTGTGGACTGGTAGCCAGAGAGGTGTCAGCTTCACCTCCTGTGCACTGCCGAGGTGCCTTTGAGCAAGCCCAAAAACCTGCTCATGGGGCGCCAGTAATGTTTGAAGCCCCATCACTCCACCATCTCTCTCCCCCTTGCATGACCACAAGTGCATGAAGTGTGCATTTCAGCCTGTTTGTGTGTGTATTAAAAAAAAAGAGTGAAAAGAACAATTTCCCCTAGGGGATCAATAAAGTATATCTCCTTCTTCTTCTGTCCCTGGGTTTAATGCTGCACCCCAGCAGCCGGTGATATCTTGTCACTCCTGGCTCTTCAGCCGTCGCATGATTATACAGGTGATGCACACCTATAGGTATAGGTTCTGTGTGAAGTACAGATGGACACAGGGAAGAATATGGTAAATGGATTATTCTTGCATATATAATGCTTTTCTAGTATTGTCTAGTACTGTTACATCAGTTAATTACTCAGCAGTTAGCAAACCCAACAGTATGACAACGTTCCAGTCTAAATTATGGATTTGAACACAAACATTACCTCAGGTTATTAACTTAGAAAAATAACAGGGAAATGTTTTCTTACCTGATATCCCAGGTTAACAGTTATAACGTGAAGTCCATATTCCCGTTTTTGTTTTGTTATTTTGTTCTCCGTTGAAATCCCACAACTCAGATTCACTCAAATAATAATTTGGCGTGCAGATGTAAAATAATCCAGATAATGATCCACGTAATTCATTATAGTGGAGCGACAGAGTAGCGCTGAAGTCCTGCAGCATTCAAACAGACGTACTTTCAAATGAAGGCGCGCTCAGTGCTCATTGGTTTCCTGGATGACAGCCACATTGACCAATCATATTCAAAGCAACATGGTGAGACAGCCAATAGCAATTATTTCAACGGGATAACTCACAGAAATATGACTTCAGAATCAAAATCATAAATCAAATATTTTAGTGACCCCAAAATTGGGAAATACCTTTGTATTATTCATAATAATAAAAAAAAAAATAATAGCAGCATCACTTAACAGTTAAGTCCACACTAAATCACATAGAGCAAAAAGTTTCTGCTGCACTGCTTTCTTGATGTTGGACTTTTTTTTTTTTAATTTACAAATTACAGTGGGTAAAATCTTAATTCATTGTAAAACTGCGCACAGAGCTTTGATGTCTCTCGCTGTCTCTCCCTCTCTTTCTGTCTGTCTCTCTGTCTCTCCCTCTTTCTCTCTTGAATGTTAAACCATAACTAATGAGATTAACCTTAAAATAGCAGAAAAAAATCTTAGTTGTCAGTATGGAAATAAACCTTTATATAACGAACAAAACATTTAATAATGATCAAATATCGTAATTATAGTAATTTTCTGTAAAAAAAAATGGGAAATAACTGTAGTTTGTCATTGTTGGCATAACAGATAAAATAACAGGCGGGTTGTTAATTTACAGATAATGTCTGTAATTTTGTCTTTTTTTACACTTTTTATAAAAAAATGTAATTTAGGATTTTTTTTAGAGTGAACCAACTCCTGATTATATCAGACCAACTTAGAGTCTGACAAGAGTTGCTCATGGCTGGTTAGCTCTGTTAGCGTGTTGCTAGCTAAGCTGACTTTATAACACAAGATACTTTTACAGAAAGCTGAAAATGTTCTTCTACTGACTGTTAAAGCTCCAGTGGACTCTGTGTTTCTGTGTTTTATACTTTAATATCAATAGGAAATGAGGATTTCTTTTTTAAAAATACCCCAAAATATGAAACTGTTTTTAAATATTTTTAAAATAACTGAAATATAATGAATTTAATTATTATTAAACCAGTAAATGATCTTACTAGAGTTAGACTTAGACTTCTCTTTATTGATCCCTTTGGCATGACTCCCGCGAGGAAATTGGATTTCCAGCAGCTTACAAAACACTTGAATAGAAAATAAAGACGTATAAAAAATACAGTATAAGATAAACAATAAACTCTTAGCTAAATATAGAAAGTAAACAATAAACAGTAAACAATAAACTCTTAGCTAAATTTATGAAGTAGAGATAAGAATAAAAGTAAAATAAAATTCACGGAAAATAAAATCAAATAAGATAAATGTAAAGAACTATATAGAGGATGAATATAGATAAATAAAGATAAATATATAGGACAGTATATGGCATTGTGTTATTATACAGTGGATAAATGACATTAGCAGAAATTAGCAGTTAAGTTAAATTATTGTGTCCAGGTATGTATGAGAAGAACTTCCAAAATATATTTGATGTTAATACAAATAATTAAAACAAAGTAAAACAGAAATATCAGTGAGAATGAATTTGTTGTGGTCGTTTTTTCTTTGTGACTGATCTCAGAGCAGTGTGACGACAAAGCTCCGCCGCTTAATGACATCACCTGAGACCAACCAGGAAACAGATTGTTCCTGTTCAGTTCTCACTGAGGAGAGACACACAGACGGAGAGACAGACGGTAAGATTTACCTTCATTACAAATCTGTGACTTTAACTGAGGGAGAACAGCTACAGGACGAAGTACTGAAGTAAACTGAAGTAGTTCAACCTGCTGCTGACTGAAATAAACACTCAAAGACTCAAAGTGAAAGTAACTGATGCAACATTTTACAGCAGGGTGAGGAAACACAACTGACTTCCTGTTTAACGTGCTGTTTCCTGTTTCCAGCTGCACTCAGAGACAAAATGGCTTCCAGATTAGAGGAGGATTTCTGCTGTCCGGTCTGTCATGATGTCTTTAGAGATCCTGTTCTTCTGTTATGCAGCCACAGCTTCTGTAAAGACTGTCTGAAGAGCTGGTGGACAGAGAAACAAACACGTGAGTGTCCAGTTTGTAAGAGAAGATCTTCAATGGACAATCCACCTATAAGTCTGGCTTTAAAGAACCTGTGTGAGAGGTTCTTACAGGAGAGAGATCAGAGATCTTCAGAGGCTCTCTGCAGTCTGCACTCTGAGAAACTCAAACTCTTCTGTCTGGACCATCAGCAGCCAGTGTGTGTTGTCTGCAGAGATTCACAAAAACACTCCAACCACAGATTCAGACCCATTGATGAAGCTGCTCGACAACACAAGAAGGAACTTGAGGAAACTCTGGAGCCCTTAAAGGAGAAGTTAAAGGTTTGTGAAGGAGTTAAAGTAAAGTTTGATCAAACAGCAGAACACATGAAGGTCCAGGCCCGACGCACAGAGAGGAAGATTAAGGAGCAGTTTAAGAAGCTTCACCAGTTTCTAGAAGAGGAAGAGGAGGCCAGGCTGGCTGCACTGAGGGAGGAAGAGGAGCAGAAGAGTCAGATGATGAAGGAGAAGATGGAGACTCTGAGCAGAGAGATAGCAGCTCTTTCAGACACAGTCAGAGCCACAGAGGAGGAGCTGAGAGCTGAAGACGTCTCATTCCTGAACAACTACAAGGCTGCAGTGGAAAGAGTCCAGCAGCGCCCCCTGCTGGAGGATCCACAGCTGCCCTCAGGAGCTCTGATAGACAAGGCCAAACACCTGGGCAACCTGACCTTCAACATCTGGAACAAGATGAAGGACATGGTCTCCTACAGTCCTGTGATTCTGGATCCAAACACTGCTCATCCAAAACTCATCCTGTCTGAAGATCTGACCAGTGTGAGAGTAGGAGAGAAACAGCAGCTTCCTTATAATCCAGAGAGGTTTGATCGGTTCTGCTCTGTTCTGGGCTCTGAGGGCTTTAACTCAGGGACTCACAGCTGGGAGGTTGAGGTTGGAGACAGTACATTGTGGTTACTGGGTGTATCAGTAGAGTCTGTCCAGAGGAAGGGACTCATACAGTCTGGATTATGGAGAATAGGGTTCTATGAAGGTAAATACTCAGCACGGTCACTACCAGCTCCATCAACTGATCTTGTAGTTCAGAAGAAGGTCCAGAGGATCAGAGTGAATCTGGACTGGAACAGAGGAAAGCTGTCGTTCTCTGATCCTGATACTAAGACACACATACACACCTTCACACACACTTTCACTGAGAGGATGTTTCCATACATTAACACTGTGGATGAAGTCCCACTGAAGATATTACCAGTGAAGGTCAGTGTGACAGTGGAACAGAGCAGTTAGAGATAAAGAGGATGATTATATTCATGATGTTTATTTCTTAAAGAGAAAAGTCTCTGAATTGATCCTGTTAAACTGAAACCTGCTCCTCATTATTCCAACACTGCAGGAACAGACACATATTATTAAATATAATCAAATGTTCTGGTATTGAGGAAATATTTAGCCAATTGAGCTGAATTCAAGAATTTGTGCCCTAATTAGCAAAACAAATCTTACAATAAGACACAATTCCTTCAAACACAATAAAAATAGTGACTTTGTCTTAAATGAAGGAACTAATTAAATAACAAAATAAAATAGAAAAATACAAGATATAAAGAAAAGAAAATAGAATTAGGTTTTTATTTTTCACAATGTGTAAAGTATTTGTAAAAATAAAGTGAAAATAAAACATTTGTAACAAGTTAATTCTGCAGTTGGTGAAACAATCTCATCATAAAGTCCATCAGTTGGTTGTTCTGGTTCTTTCTGTTTAATCTTCCTCAGCAGATTGACCTGCACATCCTCCTCCTCCTCTCAGTATCTGATATATTGAATTTACATCCTTTTTTAAAATCAACTTTTAGTGAAAATGTTTACTTGATAAAAAAAATGTTTATTATTAGTTATATTAAGTAAAACTATATTTATATAATATAAGCTGCTGTAAGTGAGTGTGACAGTGAAAGCAGACACACAGGTGTGCAGTCATATGACGTGTCCAGGTGTCATATGACTGCACATGCGCTGGTTAAAGGACTGGTTGGAGGTTGAGGGTACAAACTGAATCAGAACAGCGTGATTTAAATATTTTAATCAAAGTGTAATCACACACACACACACACACACACACACACACACACACATACACACACACACACACACACACACACACACACACACACGTCGCGTGGCTCTGAGGCTGTAATGGCGGCAGTGCTGCACGAGGACAAAAACACCCTCTCATGCTTTAATTTGATTGGAGCTCGTGACTCGTTTCCCTCATCAACAACCAACAGAGTAAACAGCTGATGAGAATCAACCCGAAGGAAATAACCAGGAAGAGGGCTGCACCCTGCCTTCACAATAAAAGCTTCACACATACGACAACCACTGATGGAAACACCAGAGACAGAAATGTTTGTGCCTTTTTACATCATTTACTATATTCTACTAATAATTTAATTATATTTTGTTCTCTTTCTTTACTCTCTGTGCCAATTTGACCAATAAAGGAAGAGCTTATCTCTTACATCTTAATTAAAATCATGTATTTATTGTTTTTGTTGTTGTTATTACTGGTTGTGATGTTTTATTGTTTTATTTCCTTTCTTTTTTTTCTTTGTATGTTTTGTATTGATTTTAAAAGTGTAAAAAACCTGAATAAAATCAAACAAAATACAAACAATCAACAACTAAGGTGCATTTCTTACTTTTACAGCATACTTAAAATAGCATTTCATTTCAATTAACTCAATTTTAAATTACATTTTAAAGAACTTTCTTCTATTATTGAGTAAACTGACGAAAAACTGACCCTAAAAGACATATTTTATGAGTTTATTTCATTTTATATTCAAAGCATAACAATAACAGTACAGAACCACTGATAAACTGTACGACGATAACAAATAATGAACGCAGTAATTACAGGAAGCTTGTGTCAAACGAGCGGATGAATTTTGAGCAGATTATTTCATGTGAATATTGATGGATGGATGCTGAAATAAATATTTACATGCAGGTTTCTTTAAGTACATGAGGTAGGGAATATATATATATATCTATATATGGTTTACAGGTACAGAGGATGTTAGAGTCCCAAGGTTATTATTATTATTATTATTATTATTATTATTATAACTTTGTTGTCTTGTATACTATATAATTATCACATTATCTGCATAATGTCATACAATATGGGCAACATAGAACTGATAAATAAAACATCTTAAAATATCTGAGAATATCTTGAAACAAATCTGAGGTTTTACTTTGAAGGCCATTACCGGAAGTGAGTGTTAGCATTAGCTCGCTTGCCGTCCGTTCATGCGGGAGCAGATCAGCTGTTTGCTTCAGTTTACAGCTTCAGTTAGCTGATGAGTGTAACAGCCCATGGGAACGTGTGTTCCTCCGGGCTTTAGACGGACTCTCCTCCAGCTATCTAACGGAGGAACGGCCCATGTTAGCGAGAGACCGCGGTCATCCAGCTAGCTAGCGTTAGCCGTCCCGCTGACAGCTCGGAGCGTCCTGCTAGCCTAGCAGCTACATTAGCACGGAGCTCCGGGAAGAGGTGAGAGGTGTTTCCGTTTGTGTTCACCGGTGACAGACACTCACACAGGCATATGAGTGAATCCTGTGTGTGCCGAATTAAAGAGTACACCTTAAAGTGTAAGAAAGGGTTTGAATTAAATGTTTAATTTGTAAGTCTTTTTTGGTTTTGGTGAAATAAGTAATAATTGCAGGTTATGTAAGTGGAGTTCGTTTTCTGTGCAAGATGGAACTTATTTCCTTATTTTCTTATATTATGAATTCTTATTCTCACATTATAGACTTTGCACAACTGGCTGTGAATGAAATAAGAGGAGTAGCTGTTACTTCCCTAATCCCTCTCATTATATTATAACACTATACTTATCTGTAATAATTAGACACATCTGTATTGAAATGTGTCCTGATAAGTGAATTATGTGTGTGCCGAATTAAAAAGTAGATTAAAGAAATGTCCTCAACCGGGTTATTAACTTCTGGGCTTTATTTTGTTACGTTAAAGTAAGTAATAATTGTAAGATATGCAACTGGAGTTCCTTTTCTGTACAAGATGGAAACTGTCAACCACTTATTTCCTTCTTTACTTATATTATGAATTCTTATTCTTACAGTACAGACTTTGTACAACCGGTTTTGGCAATAATCTGATTAATTCTGATCATATTCATGAGTTTATATAATAGGAAAGGTTATAGCTGTTTTGTTTGTTTTTCCTTCAGGTGAGCGTCTGCAGCAACCATGGCGGGGGGAATCAACGAGACCGGGGAACCCTACTCCGCATTTGTGAGTAACGTGGTTGATTCCTGATCACTTATTGATCATTTAACGCCAGGCACATGTTCAGCCTCCTTTTTAAAAGCTACAGGTTGCCATTAGGCTGCAGCTCTGAATGCAAAGTCCACCTGAATGGGGCAGATAAATCTTTAAACGCTGCTCAGGTTGAGAGGTTGTATTCTGCTCTGCTGACCTGCAGCTGATTTAACTTTTATGTAGTGGGTTGTATTGAACTACATGCCGTTCTCTCAAATGTCTTTGTGAGTGGGGCTGGTGTATATGAAAGTGCAGTCAGAAATAAAGAGGAAGCTGAAATGCTTACACGTCTTCTTCTTTTTTTCACACACCAGGGCTCTTTATGGTCTGCACTCACTTTTGACAACTCTTTTCAGTCCACACTTTGCTTACATCGGCATGACTTTGCCACAAAGATTAAATTCTGCTGGTCAACTGTTTTTCCAGGAAGCTAAAGCTTTGAATCATTAAAGCACTCTGCTATCTGATCTGGGTTAGGGCTTCCCAGTTAGCCCAGTTCCTTCACAATGCTTGAATCCTCCACCTAGTAGTCTGATCTTAAAGGAACACCTGATACTGTAGTGCCCGAGAAACCATTAATATTGGGTGAAACTGGATTGATCGTGTGGGGAAAATGGTGTTTAAGGATAAAATAAATGTTGAAATAATGTTGCTCGTGTCTTCTCCAGGTGGGGCTGGTGTACATGTTCAATCTGATCGTGGGAACAGGAGCTCTGACGATGCCCAAAGCCTTCGCTACAGCCGGTTGGGTGGTCAGCTTGTCACTCCTCACCTTCTTAGGGTTCATGAGGTGAGTCTTGTTCTTCCCACAGCAGAACACAACAACAGAGAGACATTGGACCTGATATCTTCTCTTGTACGAGTAGAGAAGTGTGCCATGTCAGATTCAAACCCTGACTTAAGGTTTCTGTGTGAGGAAGTTCATTCATGAAAAAGAAGAACTTTACGAGCTCAGAGATTAAAGTCCTGCTCTCCCAGATCATTTTAACGGCGTCAGCAGTGGAGTTAAAGGACCCGCTAAAGCGGAGAGCGCTGTTAACGCAGTGTCACCTGAGGGTCGTACTTCTAAAGAAATCAAGAAGAAGTGGTTGATAACCGCAACAGGGGAGGGTTGAGTGGAAGTCTTCACAGAGAGAGAGGAAAGAACTGTCATTGTTCCCCTGAACAGCGACCTGCTTTTAAACCTTAATGTGGAGAGAACCTCATCAGTAGACTCCTGCGGGTGCTCTGGACCTCGTCAGTTGGGTTCAAAGAAAGTTCAAAATAAAATAAAAATTGGTGAATGCCGCAAGTTCTCCTGAATCAGTCGTACGAGCCGCTTAATAACGACTCTGTTCGTACGAGTGGTTCCTGCATGAGACCCAATCTCGACCGATATCTGCTCTCTGTTCACAGTTTATTTTCTGTTTCAGTAGTAAAACTGCACAACATCTCTTCTTGATTTTAAGAGCTAAGATCCTCGGATTTCAGCTTCTTTAATGAGAATATTTCCTGAGTTCTTAAGTCCTCTGTGGCCGTAAACTGAATATCTTTGGGTTGTGGACTACAGATACAGATACAAAGTAAACATAATTTACTCTAACAGAGAGCTCTCTTCTATAAAGTCAATACAAACCATGTGAATTGGTGGCTGTGAGCTATATTTGCAGTATCTCTGATTAAAGCAGGGTCCTTTACGATAACATTTGCTAAGAAGATTGTGCACAATGTGGTGAGTTCACATTCCCAACATTCCTCCTCCTCCATGTTGTGCTGGGCTCAAACAGAAAGCTGCACATGATGTCTCTCTGTTGTTGTATGACAGTTGTCCACAGAGGTCTCCTCCTCTCCAAAACAAACAGACCCGCTGATTAAAACCACTAAAAACACTGAATAAAGCAGTTCCACCTTAACAATCACTGCTTCTCCCACGCTGTTGGACAGACAGAGGACGTCCCGGAGGGGCTGCGAGCCGAGCTGCTGCTAACGTTAGCTCAGCTTGTTTCTCTGATAACTTAAGATCCAGACGTCCGATGACTAAAATCCTTCATCTGGTTCAAATCTAGAGTTAAAAAGCACCAAGATCTAAACAGTGGATGGTAACAATGTGGCTTCAGACTGGATAAACAGTCAATGTATGACAGCTTCTGGCAGACAACCACAACGCTGACGCAGGCACAAAGGGGATATGACGCCATCGACAGGCGACCGGTGAAACGCACCGTTACCTGAATAAAATGACAGATTTCTCTGAGTTTGAACATTGTTGGAAACATTTGGGATAATGTAAGAACACATTAATATATTAATAGCGACCCTTTTGGTCGTCCTATCTTTCATTCCTCGCTCTTCTCTCACCAGCTACATGACCACCACGTTCGTGATCGAGGCGATGGCGGCGGCCAATGCTCAGCTGCGCTGGAAGAGGAGAGAGCAGGAAGAGGTGAGATCTGAAACCGTGTGCGGGAGCAGAGTCTTACTCTGTATGTAAATGTCTTTAATAGGATGTTGGTTCTCTCTTTGCTGTAAGGATGTGTCAGATAAACCAAATATTAAAGAGGTCTAATAAGACATTAAGCCAAACACTCTTTACACCCCAAAGGCAAAAAAGTGGAACTAATTTCAGTATAAATGCTGTGCAGGGACATTTCCAGTGCTTAGCTGCGGTTAATGTGCTTTCAGGTCCTCGTTCTGACACGTTGAAGCACGCTTACGCAGCTAATAACAGAAGGAAGTCCGTCTTCTTTTGCAGAGATAAAGCAGTGAAATGATCCGCGTCAGAATAAACACAAATGCAGAGTGATTTCTGTCAGCGGGAGTGATGGTGGTGCTCCTGTGGAAACCTCACTGCAGGACAGATTAATGAGAGCCATCCTCTCTTCCTCCGGAGCACGCCGGATCTCGTTTGTTTCATTGATTCTCAAAAACAGACTTATGCAAATCCAGCTGAAACGCAAATACTGGCTAATATGGGAGCGTTCAGTAGTGCACTCAGCACAGGGTAATACTTTCTTACAATGGGTTTGTGTTTTTATAACAGAATTTAGCTGTTGTGGATTTCTAATAACTTCTGTTACTTTCTGTCCGTAGCAGTCTGTGTATGGCGGATTCATACTTAAAACAAAGAGTTAATGGCTGATAATAGATACCTACAGTGTAGCTCAGCGTTATTCAACCACATCCCTCACATTGACTTCTCTCATTATTTTTGTGTGTGAGTGTTGCTGGGTTCTCACACGTCCTGAAAGGTATATATAGAGACTAGTTTTCCAGTCATGGAAACTCCTGGAAATAACTCATTCTCAGAGAAACCCAGTGTTAGAGTCATACAGCCTACGAATGATCACATTTATATTTGATGTTGTGGTTGATAAATAACATGCACAGTGATGTTATTTGTACCTGCAAACACTTTCTACATCTTTTAAAACAGATCTAGACACATTTTCATCCCTTGCAGTCAGAGCACATTGCTGTAATAAGAACCTGAGTGCTGCTGATTCTTATGAATAAGATTATTATAACTGCGAACAAAATAAAAGTAAGGCCGATCGGATAGCTATGGATTTAAAACAGATTTGCTGAGTCCGCAGCAGAAAAATCGCCTGTGGTGAGAAGAATCAAAGCGCGCCACGAAGGTGAGCTGAGGCGCGTGTCCGATAAACGCTGACCACCTACCTGCAATGACACTTCATTATGAACCCTGCATCAGTAAGAAAAGGAGGAATAAAACTGGAGTTAAATGTGTCAATACATAGACCTACAGGTAAATTAAATGACCATTTGTGAACACATGCTGTTGTGTATGACTTCCTAAAAAGACTGGGAACCCCACAGTGGTATTTAAAGGCAGCATGAGGGTACAAGAGGTTGGTGTTCAGTTGATGTCCCCCCGACTGCACGGCTTAGTGAGACTTAAAAACATTCCAACGGCTTCATTATAACTGAAGTGAGGGTCACTGCTCTGAGATCGTTCAGATATGAAACACATTAGACATTAAAGACACTTTGGGTTTATCTCTAGGCATTTTAAAGCTTTAAAGTGTACCTCTCTTATCAATGATTATCTTATTAGAGCTGAAGTTTACGACCATACGGACGTCTCCTCTTTCACACTGGAACTTCTGATGAGAGGAACGATGAGTGCAGCCCAGTAAAATAACTAGACTGTGGAATACTTCACGTTTAAAGCCTGAGGAGAATAATAGGCGGCTGTATTTTTTTTATTTAGACGGCTGTTGTTGTTTTATTGTCCAATCCCAGCACAAGTGAAATGTGTCTCTTGCCGCCCGTCTATAAGAAACCCAATTTGGATGAAGCCGTCAGTGTAGGACTGTACTCCATTACCAAGGGAAACAACCCGGTCCTCAATCATTTTTACTTTGACTAAGAAAAAGACTTTAAATGGCTCGGCCTTTTGCTTTTTGTTCCTCCCCTGGTACAGAAGTCATCTTGCTTAATGCCTGTGGGTTTCCAGTCGAGGAATTACGAGCCTGAGGACAATAGCCCGACTCTAACTGAGCTCCAAACACTCTGCCTTGATTCATGGCTCTGCCTTTTACTCCCACGTAATGGAAAACAAGAGAGAGGAGAGAACTGGAAATGTTTGCTGCGGAAGGCTTTTTATTTTTCTCTGCATGAGTGAAGCATATTAACGAAAATATATTTTTTTTACAGCGATGCATCATATATGTTTTCTCGTATAAGTTCATTAGTCGGGAACTCCAGACTGTGACTCTGAGAATGGTCTTTCTGCACTGCTTGCTGTAGAAATCATTTTAAGCCGATCCGTAGAGAAATTTGAAGGGAAAGAAAAAGCACAGTGTCAAATACTGACCTTGTGTGAGCTTTTTAGAGCAGTGGTGTCCAACCTAGGGGGTCAGGACCCCTGCTAGGGGTCGACAAAGCTTCAGAGGGGGTCACAAGGCCTTCTTGACTTTAAGGGGTGAAACAAAAATGTAACAAACATACACAGTAGGCCTGTATCTCAGCATTTAGTTAATTTCTGTGAAGATTTTTAGATTGTTATTTAAGATCTGAACTGTGAAGACCTGAACACAAGCTGTATCCACAGAGCTCCCACTCTCTGATAAACAGCCTTGTTAATACAACAGTGTCAGGGAGAAGGAAACACTGAATTTGCCCCCAAAAAAGAAGCCTGTTAACTATGTATGATGAAAGAAAATACATAATAAAGACAGAAAATTGTACAAAAATAATAAAATCATTTCACACAAACCTCCTGCAGTTATTGTCTCCACTGTTTGGGTTCATTGTGCAGCTCATCAGTCGGGGGTCATCAGTTTACCCTAATGAAAAAGGTTCTGGACCAGAACCACCCTCCGACTGTGCGACTCACTATAATTGGCCTAACATATCACAGCACTTGTTGTGTTGCATTTAAGGTTCATTGAACGGGGAGACGTGGCTGCCCTCTGCTGGAATATTAAATGGAGTGCGACCACATTGTTTTAATGTCCTCTCTCTTCATAAAGCTCCAACGCGGTCAGAGAGATTCTCTCTGCAAATGTTAAAAAGACCACAAAGAAACAATGGCAGCCCTTTAGTTAGTTTCCTCATAATATTCCAGTAAAGAACTGTTGATTCCAGAGAAACCAGAGACACCGATGTAAAAGTTGAGTTAGTTGTGTTCAGTTTAGTAGATGATCTTAATTCATAATAGTTTATTATTCATTTATAATTAGAACCTGTATCCTCCTATGTGAGTGTTTCCCATCATTTTTTATGGATATTTCATATTATATTCAATGTATAACAATAACAGCAGAGAACAGCTGAACACTGAACTGAAACTTTTTTGATGAATTTTGAAACAGTTCTCTGTATTATTGATTGTAACCATCATACATCCTTAATAGGCTTCTTGCAGGCTGCTTAATCGTTTACTCGCCTGTAGGCAAATTTCACATTTTGCATTTTAACCAGGCTTGCTGTGCAGCAACATAAAGACTCTCTTTAGGCCAGTGGCTCCCAACCTGGGACAAAACTATACTGGTCTGACTTTTCTCTAATCTTATCTTATTTTATTTTAAAGTTTTACCTTTTCACCCTAAAAGAGTTGTTCAGATAAAATAAAAAGGGAAAATCACCTGCAGCTGTGCATGTAGATGTTACATTGTTTTAAGGTTGTCACAATACCAGAATTATAAACTACAATACTAGTATAAAAAAAACTCTATCTCTTTTGTTATCATGGCAAAAGGACAAAAAAAGACAACATATAATTTATAATCATGTTAAATATTAAGGTTGAGGATCAGCTGATTTCCTTCCCTGTTGTTTCATCTGTGCAGCTTTAGGTCGACTACCTGACTGTAGATCTGTTCTTTTCTGTACCTTTGACACTATCAAATGTGAAGTGAATGGATATCCTATCGTTTTAAACCCATCTGACAACCTTCCTGCAGTCACAGCCACAACAAGGATTCACAGATTTACATGCAGCCTGGTGTTTGAGAAAGTTAGTTTGACTTTGTTTCTTTATCGCTGCCTCCAGGCATTAACAGTCATCTGACTCTCATCCGTAGCTGCTGTTAATCTGTTATTTTGTCGGGTTGCTTATGTTTGCTGTTGCTTGTTTGTTGTTTGTCACTGAGCCATTAGCTCCTGTCACTCCTCATCTCCTCCTCCTCCCTCAGTCCCAGCCAACGTGTCACTTATTCATTCAGCTGATGACGCTCACAAAGTTGGCTATCATTGACGGCTAATTGACATTAATCTGCAGAGAATCTGTGAAATGATGAAAAGCAATGTGTGGGTGCGCTGTGAAGTCCTCCACTCTCCAAAGTGCTTCCCAGCTGTTGCTTGTAATTTCCAGATGTTGCCTTCCCCCCTGCGTCACATATAGAGCAAATAAACGCTGTGTTAATCGCTTGTAAACTGACTGTTGTTTATGTTGCAAAATTAAGAAAACAGGCAACCAAAACAGAGCTTTACACACTCGTATTATCTCCGCAGGTCGACGACAGCGACTCCACCTCTGAGTATTCGGATGATGATGTTATGGGCCGAGGCCGATCGGAGCCGGAGACGAAGCCCATCCTGTCTGTTCGTGAGTATAATGAGTGCTCACAGAGGTTTTTATCACTGTCGTCGACAACAAACACGAGGTTGAACCATATATTTTATGCTTTTGTGCTTTTAAAGAATATTTTTTGGACACTACGTTGGGTCCAGGTCGTCACTTTATAATAGACAGCAAGTTAGAAACGATAGCTCCGTGACAAATATACATAACGAGAAACAAAATACAGACATAAGAGGTTTACTGAATAAGCTATGAAATTAAACAGATTGTCTAAATGAATAGTTTTGGTTGATTTTTATGTTGTAGGATTTTAAATGAGATGGTGTTTGTGTAATATATATGCTTAGATTTGATCATTTTAAACTGGACTGGACCCTTTTTTTGATCTGCCATCACTTTACGTTTTGGTTAGGCACAGAAACTGCTTACTACTAACAGTGGAGCATTCACAATGTGGTCTCAGTAGACACTGGATCCTGTGCAGTCTGGTGTAGTCTCTGCAAGATATGAGAGAAGCAATAAAAGTGTTTACACTCTTATTGTCTGACGTGATATATATATCTGTTGTGTTTGTTTTGCTGTCCGGCTGAATGTTGTGAAAGTACACCCGCTGATGCAAGGTGTGCACTTTCTTTGACATTTATCTACCTCCACTGTGCGCGTTATTGACTGTAGTCGTCTTCTGTTTTCACAGAGAGATCAGGAGGGCCCGTCGATCATTTCGACATTGTGGAGCGGGTTGAGATGGGTCAAATGGCCTCCATGTTCTTCAACAAAGGTAATATTCTTCTCAAGCCTCAAGCTTCTAATATCACTGCCCCCGTTATTCAATTAACCGCAGACACCGCCATCATTAGCCACGTGTAACATTTATGGAGGTGTGGTGAAGGTTGTGTGGGATGATTTTACACCTTTTCTGTCCAATCTTCACATTTGCAAAGGAGCTCTTTAATTGGATGTAATTATATATGGATAAATTGCCTTTGGTTGTAATTACCTGTTTGAGACTCCATCAAGGCTGTTAATCTCTCTACTGTGCATGTGTGTGGGAGGCGGTACAACCTGTACTTATGGCAAAGACACCAAGGCCTTAATCACGTTCACCTTGAACCTCACAGAACAACCTTGCGGCTTTACATTCCTCAAACACATCAGTACATTGTCCTGGCCCGGCGTCTCCTCCTCCTCTTCCTCCTCCCTCGCCTGCCCGCATTACGCCGACCGGCTGTTCTTAAGCAGCTGCAAGTGACTCAACAGTCTGCGGCGTCCCTGTTGTCGCAGGAATAAAGGAACAACAAAAGGTCAAAGCTCTGACAACATCATCTGTGCTGACATGTGCTGTCCTTCAGTGTTTCGACACTAGGTGGAGCACTCGGTGCGCACACACAGTCTGACACACACCCGCTCGGCTCATGTTCACACCCACACGTGTGAATGCACTCATGCGTGCCGTCGTGCAGCTCATGCTGTTAAAGCTGCAGTGTGCTTCCATCCATTCAGCCTGTTGTCACTCAGCTCGACTGTCCTGTCTGTTAAAGGTGAGGAACTGAAAATACAAGTCTTTGCTGATGACCTTTCCCACCATGAAGCAGACCGTGTGCAGGTGTGGCACGTGGCGGTATCGATTGGTTATAAGGAAATTAGTTTTCTCTCCTCTTCTCTCTCCCTCCGCACGCTGTGGGAAAGCTGCCCAGTGACTCTAATCAGAAATGAATTAGATAGGCACGAGTCCCAGCACATGCTGAACGAGGGAAGAGGAAACGCAGCTCTTTTGTCTATCCTGACAGCACCGACCTGCTCACTTTATACCGGCTTCCCAGAGTTTTCATACCTGTGTATGTGTGTGAGCTTACTTTTTGTGTATAAATCAATAAATGTAGCAGACCAAGCAAGGTGTCATGTACAATTTTTAGATATTGGTACCAGTGTGATAGGAGTTTTGTACTAATTAGGGGGGCAACGGATCACAAAAGTTGTGGTTCGGATTGGATCAAGGTTTTTAGTCATGGATTGGGTCATTTTTCAGATCATGCCTGATCGGACGGCCACACTCGAAGGCTGTTGTGAAAAAAGAGTTGTGGCTGAAATCGTGACTTTTTTAGGGCAGAAATACTGTTGACTGTCCGAAGTCTGCAGACAGGGAAAAAAAGACACAAAAAGTTTCTCTGTAAAATGCTGAAATGGGTCGATGACTGTTAATATACCCACCCAAATAAAGTCTATGTGGAGAAACGCTGAGGATAAAGATTGTGTCATGTCCTTTAAAAAAAAACAAAGAACAAAGCATCTTAATGCTGATTCCATCGGTCAAAGCATCAAAGCTGCCCTAATATCATTTAAAGATAGATATGAAGATATCTATATTATATATTGTCTCTCCTGGAATGCATTCATAGACTTTCACTCAGTTGTTCATGTTAAAAGTAACAGATCAAATGAAAATGAAGGTCCTTGTCTCACCTCCGCGTAGCTGATGAATCTGTATAAAGTCGGTCTTATTGTCGGACTTCAGTTTCAGAAAGTTACAGAAATGGTCGGGCACAGCTACTCCTAATCCTAAAAGATGCTATTTGAACATCTGATGCTGCAGCTGATACTGAGAGCTCAAAGCTGAAGCAATTAGATGGCTCATTTGCAGTTTTTCTTTGCAATATTAAATTCAATATTTTTGGACTGTCGGTCTCTGAATAGATCAAACAATCAGTTAATCAAATCTCAAATCTATTTAAGTCTAAGTCCAGAATGATTCCACTCTTCTAGAGATGTTCTTCACTGATAATTTTGTCGTTGGACTTAATTAATGTTAGAAAAACTCTGTGGCAGGTGACAGCAGTAAAAGAAAGGACAGACTATGTTCTGTAGCTGGCCACTTAACTCTGGATGACCTCTGCATGCTCAGACTAATGATAATTTATGTAAAAACATGCTGATGACTGGTACAACCGAAACTTACAGGTCACTGGAGGCCTGAATGTAGGTGCCATGCTAAACATCTGAACTCCTTATTGTGCCTGCGTGAGTTTATGTTGCGCCCTTTGTCAATACTAAGAATGGACGTGGATGTTTTATCTAATGGCACCATTACATTAGGCTTGTTTGGTACGATTTATTTGGGGTAATAAATAGATACATTTGTTGACAATTGAGTATTTTATTTAAGTTTTCTTCGTTTTCTATGTTTATAAATTGAATATCTCTGGGTTTTGGGTTGTTTATCAGACAAAGCAAGTAACTTCAGTACATCAACCTGGGCTCAGTGTGTAGGATTTAGTGGCATCTAGTGGTGTAGTTGCAAATTAATACTCCCTCGCTTCACCCTCCCCTTCTACAGTGGCCGTGAAACACACAAAAAACATGAACAACCCTATCTAGAAGTTCAACATGCCTGCCTTTAAGGATTGATTATTATTAAGGATTATTGATTCTTATTCTCAGGTCATTATACACTCATGAAAACATAGTCATGTATATTATATTCCATTCCTGCCTAATAGATCCTGCTAAATGTTACACATTGGACCTTTTAATGGATTAATTAAGATAATAATCAGCAGATTAATGAAAATAACGGTTAGTTGGAGCCCTAGCCATATTCTTGATTCTAGCACTGCTTTTTGGTCAGTGTGTGTTCAGATTATATTAAATAAGTCTAAACACAATCAGGCTATTAGGAACTATTTATTTGCATTTAGAGTGTTTGCAATTATCCCAAAATGCCTGAAATTGTATATCTCAGTCCTCTTCCAAGCAAATGGCTATGTAGTTTGTTAGAAGTGACAACTTAATTCAAACCAACTGCAGAAAACAAACCCTAAATTGTAGGGGATTATGGGTGTGAGGGGACAGATGTTGACGTCTGATAACCAGTAGTTACTCTTCCTTGGAAAGCGGAGCAAAAAACAAAATCAACCGAGGGCAAACAGTTTGAACTAATGGCTCTTTCTTCATACATTCAAGGAGCTAAATAGCAACAAAAAAAAGAGTGTAAACGAGTCCATCACGTTACAGGACGATAGTTTTAAAACCACTGCCCCTCTCTTCACAGATAATAAATTGTTGGTGTGATTGCACACTGTCTGTCTGTCCTGCACCTTTTGCAGGCAATTAAAAAGCATCTCTCTTGCTGTCGTAGAGGCACTCTTGGAGGGCATTGACTTCCTCCTGGACTGAAATTGACGTGGCAGCAGCAGTAAGGCAGGCTTGGAATAAGGCCACGGGTATCGTATCAGCCTGACCTGCAGCCACTGACAGGAATGTTGATGGGCGGCTGGTTTATCTGCTCCACTGTGGAAAGGTGTTACTATAACCTTCACATTGATGATTTGAAAGTTGATTAGAAGACGACTTTGGCTAAAGTCACAAAGAGAGAGAGAGAGACTAACGGAGGGCTGTCCTTGCATCAGCATCTCGTCTCAGCCTTTCTTACCTCTGTGATGTGATGTGGAGGTTTACATGGTGGCTGTGCAAACAGCAGGATTGTTTCTTCAACGCGAGCCGCCCTTCCCCTGACATACGGAGGACCATGGCGGCGAATACTAATTTACTCCGCTGTAACCCGGGCTTCTGTCTTTAATGAGAGCCAAACATGGGCACCTCGATTTTTAATACTTCAGTGACTTTTACTTAAATGTCATACTTGAGCATTGAGAGCACCGGCAAAATGAAAAGTGCCCGAGCCAGTGGGAAGATAAATGAACGTGTTTGCTTCAGCTTGCAGACCAATAATTTTCCATAAGGCACCGCTACAGTAGTTTCCTGTGTCAGCTCGGTAAGAGATGCACTTTAATTTCAGGGAGTTTGTTATAATGGCTAAGTGTGATCAACCCAACAGATAGATATTGCAAGTTGAGTCCCGGGAACAAAGCTCACTCCACGAAAGCTTGATTTGTTTTTCAAAATGAGACCAAGTGAGGCCTGTAATATTGTAACTTAGAGTCTGTTCAGACCTCGACTCTGTTTACTGTTGGTTAAAGGCATATGTGGCGCTCTGGGGGAGACAGTAATAGAAGTAGCTCAGATTTTGGGAAAATAATGGAAATAATTGTCTTAAAAAACACTACTTTGGTGCGTTGATGCCCCAAACCCGCCCTAACAAGTTCAGTTTTTGGACTTTGGCATATCTAAAACCCTGCATACAGTAATACTGGTGAGGTACTCCTAAACGCCTGCGTAACTGCGTTTCTGTGTAAACTAAAAGCTAGCTTACTGCTAAGAAAACAGCACTAAAAATGTCCCTGTTTTAAAGGATTAAAAAAGGTTACTGACACCTTTCTTGTTCCAGTTGAAGCACTGACCGAAACCCTTCTTCAAAGTGGGACGGGTCATGACTTTGCTACCCTCGCTGATACCTGATACCACATTTCAGGCAGTATAGGAGGAATTTCCGATACTGGTATTGATATTTGAACAACTCTAGCTAGAAGAAGCACAGTGATAAGGTATTGCTAAATCATGACTGCTTAAATCCTTTGCTACATGAAATAAAAAAATGGAAAACACAAGATTTATGCCATAATCTGTCATCAGAGTTATTGCTGCGTATTTTCCCTTTTTCTACTGACAGATGTGCACTTGTATGATTTGAATTTCCCACTCTCGAAGTAATGTTGTGAGCATTCACGATAAGATTGCTGCCCGTTTGATAAATTGTCATTCAGACAGATTATTAGTTTTATTGTTACTGTGTACTGACAGAGAAATTCTGTTCTGACATAGAAGTTGTGTTGACAAAGTAGACCTAAATTGGTCCTTTTATTACTCTGTGCTGTCCTATTTACTTATTTTTAGAGACAGTTTGTTAATGGTGTGGTGTTGCCTCCGGGGGCCGGCTCAATTTAGATTTGATTTGTGAAAGTCTGTCATCTCAGTTTCACACACAAGAAGTTAAATTTGAATATAAGGAGAGAACGATTAATGAGGTAAAATTCAAAGTTAAAGTTCACTTTTCGTGTTCTTCAGTGTGACAGCGGCGTGTTCTGATGACTTATTTTTGACCATAAAACTCACTTTACAGGAGAGGTCGAAACAGACTTTTTATAATAGGATATTAAAATAACATATTTCCCATTCCTGTTACGCAAGGTACAGTATTAAAATCCCCACTGTTAAACCTGTATAAGGTATTAAAAGTGCCTTCCCATATTATGCACATAACTAAATAGCGGCTGCTTTTTTTGTTGTGTTGCTGCTCACAGAGGTTGTCAGGCTCTGCTGTCAATCAGAAGCACAGTGATGATGGATAGTGATGCGTTTTACAGCTACATGAAAGACCGGGCTCCTACGTGAAGACCCATTTTGCAGCATTTTTTTTCCTGTGGCTCTGGGTAATTGGGAAATATTAGTTACAGTGCCGTGAAGGCCTGCATCCCCCTGGTCATGCAGCGCTCTCGCCTTGCTATCGCTTACTGACAGCGGCAGCAGAGTACAGTACGTCCTGTTTCTGCTATCTGCCGCCGGGACACTAATATGCCTCGTCCGACGTGGTGCCACAGGAGACATTACGCAGCGCAGAGAAGGACTTGTTTCTTCAGCGGATAATATGAGAAATAAGACTGAGAAAGAATTAATTAACCCTAAAACATTTGCATGTCCAATTTGAACCTGGACTATATTTTAATATTTCTGGCGGCTTGAGTCTGACCTGTATTTCATCCGTTGCTTCACTACAGAGCTGCTTATAATGTACCAAAACCATACTTTTGATAACTAAAGGACAGACTAAAGATCCAGTGTGTAACATTTAGGTGGATCTATTGGCAGAAATGGGATATAATATTCACAGGTATGTTTTCATTAGTGTATAATCACCTGAAAATAAGGATTGTTGTGTTTCGTTACCTTAGAATGAGAATCTACGGAGGGAGAGGGAACTCTTCTACGGAGGCCACTATGTTGACCCGCCATGTTTCTACAGTAGGCGTGGCCTGGAATTAAGTCATTTATTGGGGCATCGTGACCAAAATGTAGGGCACCAAAAGCAAAATTACCGAAGCTATATATATATAGTATATAAAAATATCTCAACCTTAATATAGCGGTAAAATGCAATATTAATGCAGCAATAATATTAATCCAAAAACATGTGTAATAGTAAAACACTGACCATTATACTGCAACCGGAGCTTATCTACACACCTTATGGCTGAGTGAAGGAACCAAACTACCCGTCTGTTTACGTTACACCGACGATGCTAACAACGTTAACTTTCTGAACCTCTCTGGTTACAGATATATTTGTGGGAGAAAGAGTCTGCAATGGTTGCAGTCTGCAACTACACAGATGCCACTAAATCCCAGATCTTGATCCTTTAAGTCATTTTAAAACCTAAAACTCTCCAATTCCAACTACTTAAACATGAGCATTTCCTGCTTTTGTAACGTGAACCTTCTTTGGTTTTTGGACTGTTAGTCGGTCTGAAGACATAACATTAGGCTCTATAAAGGGCAGGTTTTTAAAAATGTATTAATGTCTCATATTTTTAGACCAAATGAATACAATGCATTTTTGATATGACTCTGTCCAGTCTCTAATCTCTTAGTTTCTGACAGTGTTCTGAATCATTTAACTGCTTTTTACAACTGGATAAATGGTTGTTTATCAGGCTGTCAGTTCCGTCTGTTTTCAACTTCTATCACAGCATTGATCGGTGCCCTCAGCCTTTAATTCATAAAAGAATCAGTGTAGCCCGTGATGCTGTAAATCTGTCACTTTTTATTTCTTTTTAATGGACTCTGTGCTCTAATTTCCTTGTCAGTAACGAATTAGCTAAGGGGTCCAGTTGGACGGTTGAACCCCCTTCTGAGAATTCAAGAGCGTGATGGATGTGGGGCACGCTGAGAGGGTCTGTCTGCTGGTTAAAGCTCTCGATCTTGTGTTGGCAAAGGCAGCGGGGTCGGGCCTGCCAGTCGGTTGTGTGGATGAAAAGAAAAGGGCAGATGGTTAAGAGGTGGTCGCTGTGGAGAGTAAAGGCTGAGGGGGAGAATTTCCTTCATGGTGTGATTAGTTTTTTTAATTAATGCTATTAATATTTTTTTTATTGGACCAATAAGATGTGGCTCTGCTGTCCCAGAAAAGGGATGGAGGGATGAAATGAGCGGAGGTCTGGTTGAGAGTGCATTTTAATAGAGATGGCACCATAGTGGTCACGTTTGACACACATCCATCAACTATATTTCATTATGAAGTGTTCAGACAGCTGATAAAGATGAAAAATGTGTTTACTTGTCACCTCCTGACCTCGTGCTACTTTAAGAATCGGATGTTTTTCTTCACATAGACCAGGGGTAGGCAACCTGTGGCCCTTATTTTCTTGTCAACTAATATGTGCATCTTGCGGGGCTGACAACGGATATTCTAACTTTGATTTTATAATCGTATTGCAAAACAAAACAAATATTCAGTTGTGAAAATGAAAAAGAAAGCAGCACCACCGCAGCTCTCTCCATGGCCCTTACATATATATGTATGTGTATAATTTCTTTGATGGTAATGTTTGCTGCCAGGCAAACTTTGCTCACATCTCTTGAGTCATTCATATTTTAATACTTAAATTTTTGTCTTTCAGTTGGCGTCAATATGTTCTACATCTGCATCATAGTCTACCTGTACGGAGACTTGGCCATCTACGCAGCAGCTGTGCCTATATCGCTAATGGAAGTTGCCTGGTAAGACCAATATACTTACTTTATCACATTCATTCTCAGGTTTATTGTGGAATAAAACTTAAATATAGATCGATTTTATGGATGTTCTCCTTGAAGAACCTTTGGAACATTTGCTACTTTCCGTTTTGGCAAGACGGAGCACCTCCAGACTTCATCTCATTGGCTCCTCTGCCCCCACACGTTGGTCCTATTGTCACCTTCTGAACTCGAGAATAAGACAATAAAGCTTTGCTGACATAAGCCTTTAGGCCTGGCGACCTCTTACCGGTGCTGCTGGCGTCTGAGTCATGTTGACCCGCTTCCAGACAGACTTTTATTGCAGCTCTGTTGGCCAGACTGGGTGAGAATAAGGTATTTAATATAGTTAGGGACTCTGCCCTCTCAGATCCTGGACCACAGAAATAGCCGTACCCTCTTCAGTGTAGTGATGATTTCAGGATGGTGACAGTTAAAGTTTCTGACAGTTATGTTTAAGATAGTTTCAGGCAGTTTTCTAAAAGTTTTAAAGGAAGTTTAATACATGATCTTTTACAAAATGCCACTATTTTATCTCAGCTGATTTGTCTGACTTTAGTGCTTTGAGATAACCAGAATAAATGTATTCATGCTGAGCCAGGTGACTTTGAAAACACAGTTTACCTGTGTGTGAACACCAGTATCAAATTAATAAATTAACAATAATACAATCACAACAGTTGAAGTTGAAAAAGTCTGTTTTAATTGTTGTTGTGACAAAGCAGCCCTCTCTCCTTCTGTCCTCAGGCACAGCACACTGATGCTGTCTTATCGTATTAAATTCTCCTCCACTGTGGTCCAAACCTCACCAACCTTCCAGCCAGAATAAATGTGAGATGTAACTGAGACTTCAAAAAGCAGTTTGCTTTGCCCGAAGGCACGAACTGCAGACTTCTTACTAGCATGGGGCAGAGTCAGATGATTATACTAGAGCTCGGTCTGTCACGCAACAATGACAGGGGTTTGTGATTACTTTTAATGGTGTGTTCCCACCAAAAGCAAAGCAAATGTGTGCCCTTTTATCTGGTTTACAGCGGTGGTTTGAGCCTAAAATAAACAGATTTTGCTGTGATTTAATGTCAATAAACAGATCAAATAGCTGCATCATGATGGCGATTTGTAAAAAGTCTGAATTTATACTTTGTCCGATTTGTGAGCAAGATGACGAGCGAGCAACTTTCAAAATGCTTGTTTTGTGAACAGAGTTTGGTTGGGCTACGCTAAATTTAGTTCGTAGTAAAGTAAATCCGATAGCTGGAATCAAGTAACAGACACATATTTTCAACGCTCGCCAGGTAGTCCTCTTTCGTCTCTTACTTTTCTCAGAGCAATCTTCTTTTCTGTCCGGTCTCTGTATAAATATGAAGTAGTATCATAGAGCTCTGGGTGCACACACATGGATACAAGTGGGGGTGGCACCTACATGGCTTGCAGCAGACAGTTTGAGAGGAGAGAGTGGAGATAAATCCACTTTTAATCCCAAAAGTTTAAAAATAAACTCTGAGCTCTCCTCTTGCCGGTAAACGTCTCCAGAATCCGGTGGTTATTCCTCCAGAAGCTCCGTCTCTCTTCTGCAGAGCTCCCCGGGCTCCTGCAGCTGTCTGTGGGCCAGCAGCAGCTCTGTCTCTCCCCTCCTTTACACACAACACTGCAAACACCCAAGATTTTGTTCTTGGGTGTTCAATATTTTCAACTCCCATGAAATCATCACTGGGCTGAATTTTGCGCCACTCGCATCGCCCGCCACAAATTCGCCTAATGAAAACTTTATTGTCAACAATGTGGAAATTTGTCTTCGGTGTCACCATAAGACACGTCATAAAAAAACATAAAAACATTCATAAATATACAACTCAGCAATGAAAACGGCAGCAGAGTGAGTAGCAGCACTCTGTATCCTTGTCTACTAGATCCTACTTTCATTATCACTTTGACGGCATTTGGGACACGCTTCGGTCTGTAGTGTGCGTTCAGTTTCATCTCACCAGGTTGGGGTTACACATTAAGCTCGGTTTGTTTGTGTTCTGTCCTGTGCAGTGGAAACCACTCCTGCAGCGCTGGAAGTGTGAAGTACAACGATACAGACCCATGCTGGGGCTCTGTCACCAGGAAAGATGCTTACCGAGTGTTTCTGGTAAGTGTCAATTCCTCCTTGTAACAGCACGCGCGTACCTCTGCTGACCTATGTGTTTCTTGCCAAGTAGTTTGTAAAAGACTGTAAATGATCAGCTTCCTCCTTTTTAGTCCTGGGAACTGGAACTTAGTCCCGGACTGTAGTCAAAGACCTCGGTCAGTTCAAGATTCAAGCACAACGAAACAGCTGTGTCAGCCTCAAATGATGCATTTACATTCACACATATATACAAAGATAAAAAGAACACATGTAAGTAGAATATAAAGAAGTATCAAATTAACAATGAAATACAACCAACAGTGGTGCATCATCTGCAACCTGTGTGACAGATATGAAGTGATGGTGTATTGGGGTGTTGAATGATGTGTGTGTGTGTGTGTGTGTGTGGTGTAGAAATATTGCACATAATCAGTGGCTGTAAATAAATATTGCACGTGTTCTGGCAGCACATCAGTCTGATGCCCTGATGCAGAACCGTGTGCTATGTATCTCGGTTCTGCATGGATATCTCTAAGATCTCTGACATTTCATTTACAGATCCACTGAATAAAAAATAACATTTGTTGTGGAAATAATGTTAAAAATACAGAGTTACGGGATGATAGGGAAGCTTCTTAGTGACCTACACAGTGTCCAAAGTTTGGGATCATTTCAAGCTGAATAAAAACAAAAACACTGCACAGTGTGCATAGCACGACGTCAATGCTAGCTAGTTAGCAGCTACTAGTCATTGTTTTTTGATTTCTTATTTGATTTACTATTGCTCTTAAATAACACAAATGCATTAATGGATTAATTAGGAGAATACTTGATAGCTGCAGCCCTACACTGAACTGTTTTCTACAAAGACATGGTTGAACTCTCAGTGGATTTCTGGTCTTATCCTACACACGATGAAGCTTCTTGACAGTACGTGAAAGTATGCTTTCGGCCTAAACTGTCTTGTCTGCACACATCCTTTTGTAAAAGTTTTTATCTCCTGCGTGAACAAGGTGTAATGTGCCTGCGTTTCGTTCAGATGTAGCTCTGACAACATTTTCTGTCCCCTGAATCCTTCCCCCACTTTAACATCCTCAGACACCCCACCTCTGCAGCCCACAGGAAGTGTGCGCGCGTGTCCTTGAAGTCTTAAGCGAGCCAAACTCTGTGATTTCCACTCGAGCTTTAACTTTGCACAGCGACAGTGATAGATGTGCTGATCTCCTCCTGTATAATTTCTCAGCCTCCCTCCTTCCCGCTCCCTCTCTGTTTCCTACCCTCGCTTATATTTTAATAAAATGAGCAGACCCCAAATAATTTGCCAATAAATTAGCTTTTTCCTCTTTATCTCCTCCGGGATAAGCCTCTTACTGTATGTAAGCAAACTCAAATAATGCTGATTTGTAATCTGTAGTCAATTTGTTTAGACTTGCAGTTTTGCAGACTCATTTCCCAGTTTCATCATGACCGCTCAGGGAAATAAATATGTTAACACTAAGAATGTTTTTACCACTGAAAACTGACAAGTAGGAATGCACTGATCTGACCTTTTTATCCAACTATGCTGCTACTCTGGGGAATTTGGCCATACAGGTTTTTAACTGCGGACACGAACATCCCTCTTAGACTCTTAGTTCAAATTGTATTTGAATTGTTTCGAAGGTTTCTAATGTGTTTCCCTCACTTCAAATCTCCTCTAACCTGCCTCTGGCTGTTTGACTTCTGGTCTGGTGCCACGGTGTTGATGTAGCATGAAATTCGATCCGGAATCTACTTGCCGTGTTTATCGCAGTTATTTCTGGGACAATATAATGTCCAGAAAAAGTAGTTATTTTGAAAGGCCTACATCATTACATTAGCTTGTCTAATACATGCACTTAAGGATCCGATCTCATTGTTTAACTGATCAGTATTTGCTTTATTGGGCTGTATCGAGCCTTATTGACCAGATCCAATCTTTTGTTTTATGTCAGCTGTCACGTGGCTGTTATTACTCACAAAGCTTTCATGCTGAAAGATTTAACGTCAGTCAAAAAAGGACTGGAGTGGCCTTTAATTGTGCAAACAGACTAATCTTTCAACACTGCTATGCATCCATGAGAGTCAATACGCAATGTAATGAAAGCTATTTCATACATAAAATGTAAAAAGTGCAGAAACTGCATTAATCTACTTTTAGAAAAACTATATGTTAATGTTAGCAAATCAAAAATGTCCTGGTCACAGTGAAGCCTTACCACCTTCACACTGAAATGCGTTTATTGTAAAGTGTCAGCAGGAGAAAATGAATGGACCTGAACAGAGAACCGTTTAACGTGGATCAGTCGCTTCTGGCTTATCTCCAATCAACTTAATAAGGTCAGTATCGACGGATCGGATCTGATGCATCCCCACAGATGAGCTTTTAATGTCACAGTAATATTTTCTACAGAAATGATAACTCCTTATTATGACATCAGAGTTTTGACAGCTCTTTATTTTAATTAACCAGTAACCAGTCTTTGTCTCAGCAAATCAGAAGCCAGTAAAACCAACAAGGTAGCTTTTTAGGTTTAACTTGTTTTCTAATTAGTAAATCTTAATCTGAGCTCATTCTGTACGTGTGTATGCATTGCAGTAGTGTCTGTTTATAGCCAGTATTTTACAGTGATGATGTAGCAGTTAAACAAAAAAGCTGAAGTTATAAGTCAGAAACACTGTGTAAACTGCGTGGTGATTTAAATGCTGAGCTGCAGCAGAGGAATACCTTTAATCCTTGGATGATTTGGTTTAGTCGTTTGACTAAAGAATGATCTGCTCATAGACGTTTTTTCCGGCATATTTTCATCCTGAAAAACGTCTTTTTTGTCCTGGTCGACCTTTCCTTAAATAAATCAAAAATCATTGAGCTGTGATGAAACATTCAGCAGCCCCTGTTAGGATACCGTACAGCGGGTGGACTGTCTCTCCACTCTGTCTGTGCCTTCGCCGGGTCAGAGGCTCTGGCCTGAAGACACTGCACAGACTCTGAATGATAAGTCTAAATAATTGACTATTTCTCATCAGCTGGGCTCTACCCTGTGGATAGAGCTATAAGAACCTGGCCCACCCTGGACCCACCTGGGCTCCTTTTGTATGCTCAGTGTTATATTGTGAGCTGAGCTGGAAGGACAAAGTGCCCTTCTTCCACAGTGCTGAACTGAGTGTTTTTGTAATGGACCATTTTCACTCAGGTCTTCCACGCCTACAAAGTTTGAGAGGGGTCAATCAGTGAAGCCATGCTCAAAATTGCTTGCCGAAAGATAGACATGAAGGAACAACCCCAATCTGGGGTTCAGGACCCCCACTAGGGGTCGCCAAAGCTTCATGGGGGTCGCAGGGCCTTCTTGATTTTAAGGGGTGTAAGAAAATAGGATAAGAAAAGAAACATATACACAGCATTTCGTTGAAAATTAAATTAAATGAAATTGTAATTTTTAAGTTTTGGTTATTATTTAAGATATAAAGTCAAAGGTCAAATTTATATCATAAACACTGTTATTGTAACTTCCTGCACTTATTGAGTTCACTATTTGGGTTCATTGTCATGATTAGTCAGGGGCACTCGATGATGGAAATGGGGTCCCTTAAGAAAAAAGGTTGGGAACCACTGGAATAGACCATAATTTCAAAGCAGGGTATCACACCAAACTATCCCTGACTTAATAAAGAACATATAAATGTGCATAACGCATGAGTATATATTTGGAGAGGTGATATATGACAGCAATCAGCGTGTTACACAATGATGAGAAACCCAACATAAACAAGCCAACAAACAACAGCTGTGGCTTAGAGGTAATCAGAAGATGGACCATTCGCATGTTTAAGTGTCCTTGGGCAAGACACTGAACCCCAAATTGCTCCCGTTGCTGTGCCATCAGTGTGTGAGCGTGTGAATGGGATTAGTTCATTTCTGATGAGCAGTTGGCACCTTGCATGGCAGCCTCTGCCATCAGTGTGAGAATGGGTAAATGTGACATGTTGTGTAAAACGCTCTTAAGGGGGTGCTATACAAGTGCAGTCAATTTACCATTTATATTTTTCCAGAATCTCCATTTTTCATTACAAGATATCAGATAGTAGGGCTATGTATTGGCAAGAATATGACAATACATATCACGTCACAGGGGTTACTATTCAATATATTGTGATACATTGCAATAATGTATTGTATTGTATGTATATTGTGATTTTATAAAAACATCTATCACCCCCTGCAGTACTCCAGAGTAGTAAAAAAGTTTTCATACTGTGTGCCGCTACTGGAGAAGTTTCTCTTTTACACCTCGTAGTCATTTTTATGTTCTGATGTTAGAGTTCCGTTTGTTGTATTTGTTTTTGTTTTTCCTTCATATTCTTTCTCACATAATAATTATACTTGATATTTTGTATTATATATGATGTAAATGTATATCTTGTACAAAATATATACAGTGAGAGCTGAACAGACTTTGACATTACATGACTTTGTTTTTAGCAATTCGTCCCTGTGAAAAATATTTCACAGGCACTGAGTCTGAATTTCAAAATCCTTTATTCAACTCCTGTTTTCTAATTGTACTGTAGTTACAGGGTCGTATATTTAGAGTGGATTATTGGACCAGCGGTGGCTTTCACCAGTGTTGTCTTTTTTTCCTAGAGTGTGATAAAGGAGCTGCTTGGTTGTGTCCAGGGGAATCATCGGGGCGATGCTACAGACTTTACTGCAAACATAACATTTTTAGAGTTTAGAAAATGACGGGAGATTAAAGAGCAGCCTGATTATGGTGTTGCTCTAAAGAGCTTTAATCCCTGTGTGGGTGATTGGTGCAGAGAGAGACAGTAAGGGACGTTGATGTCAGAGGGGATTTGGACAGAACGAGTTGCTGTATTGATGAACGGAGTCCTGCAGGATCAATTGTTGTCCACACGAGTTGAGAAGCTTTCACTGACTCCTGACAACCTGTGGATGTTTTTAGGTATCAGTCGGTCTGCCTCATCAGCCAAACAAATCCCAATGG